ATATGATAGTATTCTTGAAAACAATCTTTTAATGTATTATTAAATAAAATAGTAGTTAATTATCAAAGAAAGAAAAATTAATAGCCATAAAATGTACTATTAATGTTGTGATACTGTGATACTCAGATACTATGATTTCATTCTCACATAGCTGATTTCACCATTAACTCTTAACCTTAACAGTTTATGTTGCTGTATATGGTATCATTGTAATCTTTGACCATCCAAACATAGGGGTAGACATAACATTTTCTGTGCTATCATGTTTGGTTCAGGAGATATGACACAAAATACATAATTTGGTTATGGCAGAAAGTAAAATGGTCGCCATGGTAACCACGAGGAGTTTTTGCGATGGCTCCATTTCTGAAAATGGTTAGGGCCGCAAACTATACAAGTGTAACAAGTTTCATGCTTTTATGAAAAAGTGAATATTATTTTCACATATCACCTGGACTATTAGAGAATATGCAAATTCCGACGCAGAATTGTTGCTGCCATAAGGCAATCCGCAGCATGTGTGGAAATATTTAAACCACGTGTGTTACAACTTACCCCGCGTTACTTTGTGCCCCGCGCTCCCCTATACCAAAAGTCCCCGGATGGTCTAGGCTACTATTTCAGGTCGATTTTTCGAAGTGTGGATCCGTGCACACTCTAATACAGGGGTGTCCAAACTCGGTCCTGGAGGGCCGGTGTCCTGAAGAGTTTAGCTCCAACCCCAATTAAACACACCTGAACCAGCTAATCAAGCTCTTACTAGGCATACTAGAAACTTAAAGGCAGGTGTGTTGAGGCAAGTTGGAGCTAAACTCTGCAGGACACCGGCCCTCCAGGACCGAGTTTGGGCACCCCTGCTCTATAGGCTACCCTTGAAGAGTGTCCTGAGAATGGGGGACGGCCAGGTATCTGAGCCCCAGCATTAACCCACATCCAGTTTAGCTATAATCTGGGACAGAGCAAGGTTATTACCTCCCAACAGAGACCTGGAAGAAATAACTTGTAATTTTCAATCTTTTAAACATATATTTTGGTTGTATAATGTAAATAAAAACATCTAGATGCTGTCACTTTTCAAGTTCATTCAAGAAGATCCAATGGTTTATAATGATTGATAAAGCAATACATGTGCATTAAGGTCATTTTTTCAGACATTTGTTCTGCCCTCATAAATGAACACTTATTATGCTCAGTGTTCAGAGAGATACATATTAAAATGTTAAAAAAATATTAAACTCACAATTGTAAACATAGAAAGATTGTTCTCTGCTGCTCTCATACACATACAACAAATGTAATATTAAACATGGTAAAATAGTAACCTCAACATTTTTAAAGACATAAATCATATTAACTGCCATTTTGCCCATGTTCTTAGGTATTTTGCACTGTCTTTCTAAAATGCAAGACTGTCATTTGGTCTCACTGGATATATTGTTCTTAATTACTGTGTTATTTTGAGTTTAATTCTGTAGTGCTGAATAAGAAAGAAATACACACATAATTGTTATAATGACATGGTAAACTTGAGTCACTCGTTTATAACAGTAATCAAACGTCTGAAAAATATCACCAAAATCATGAAACATATTTAACCCAAAGCAAATATTAAACATGGTAAAATATTAAACTCAATTTTTTTTTTAAATGTCATATTAGTTGCTGTTGTCCTCAGATATTTGCACTGACTTATAAAATCACTGGGCAATTATTACTAAACATTCCAACCTTTTTTTTTAGATCATTAAGCTTTTTTTATATTTTTTTGCAAATTGTGTAAATTGGTAATCACTTTTATTTCTATCTATCTATCTATCTACAATTATACAACAAATGTAATATTAAACATGGTAAAATAGTAACCTCAACATTTTTAAAGACATAAATCATATTAACTGCCATTTTGCCCATGTTCTTAGGTATTTTGCACTGTCTTTCTAAAATGCAAGACTGTCATTTGGTCTCACTGGATATATTGTTCTTAATTACTGTGTTATTTTGAGTTTAATTCTGTAGTGCTGAATAAGAAAGAAATACACACATAATTGTTATAATGACATGGTAAACTTGAGTCACTCGTTTATAACAGTAATCA